TTTCGGTTATTGCAAAATTACACAGTTTCTGCCTTTTTCATGTTCTACACTCATTTTAAAACAGTCTTGTTCTCAGCAAATGCATTTTAAGTCCATTATTAGCCAGAATTAAAACAGTTTGCAATTACATTTGATGCGTCAACAGTGTATCAAGCCATCAGCTTCCCTGAAATGATTTTGTTTGTGCAAATGAGGGTTTGGTTTGGTTTAGCAGCACAATCCTGTGTCATGTAGGGAGCGGCTGTAAGTTAAAGTTTAATTCTGGATAACTTCAAATGAGAGACGGCTGGTAAAGACTGAGAAGATAAAGGAAAATTTGCTTTTCTGAAGATTAGTGCATAATTGTTAGCCTAAGACACGTTACTTTAGATAAGAAACTTGAGGTAATCTAATGTAATTATTGCCTTTTTGTGGATATCAGGTACTTGCATTTAAGTGCTTGAGTAGGGTCAGTGTGGTAAAAGAAAAAGTTTAATACTGCGCAATGCATGGTAACGAAAATATACCACACCCTGTTAGGAGATAGCAGAGCTTCTAATCACTGATTGTGAATTAGGCTAAATGAGGTTACAGCACTGGCTTGGGTGCCCAGTATTATGTTTAATATCACAAAACTGGTCAGGATCCAGCTCAAAAGTCCATGCAAAATTGTTTTCATTTTTAGGTTTTAACAAAATAGCATTAAGTCTTAGTGTGGTTTTAGCGAGGGAAGAAAAGAGGTTCCTCAGTGCTGGTATAATACTGCATTGATGGATTTTTCATCAGTTGTCTTTATGTGGCAACAAATAAACAAGTATAATTACACTTGTGAAGGTCTATTCATTCCTTTGTCAGGATTAGATATATGTGCAGTTTTCACACTGATCCTCTCTTTTGTCTTTGCCTAACTCAGTATGACATATTGATAGAGGATTTGGTGTGGGGGGAAAAGGCCACAGCACAGACAGAGATGACCTTTAGGAAACTTGATATAATTCCGGCATAATTGTATTTGTTTTTAAGAGAGTTATGTAAGTTTTAACTTTGCGTGGGTTGAACTGGTGTTTTATGTGGGCAACTTTTAACCTGTGTCTAACAGTGTAAATAAAGAGTTGAAGTCAAATAAGGGAACCAAACAGCAGATGGAAAAACAAAAGAGCCAAGAAGGCTATTGGTCTTTTTTTTCCCAGCACTTAGCACTGTGGCAAACCTTGCATTCCTCTGCCATTATTCTCCTCTCTTGATCAGATCACGTTCTGTTTAATCACTTCTCAAACACTGTCTCACTGGAGCAGAGAAGAGGGCTGGGACGATCTCAATTAAAAAAAACAGAGGTATAATTGGCATTTGTGATTCTAGTTCTTTGTTCCAGTGGGAACTGAACATTCATTCAATGCTGAGACATTACCCTATTGTTTAACATGTACACTTTTTTGTTAGTTAATCTTAGTGTAGGTGCATCGATTATTTTGCTGGTAATTATTCACACTGTGTTTGCTGCGGGAGAGAAAAAAAGAGAAGTTAGCAATTCAAATGCAATGTAAAAAGTCAGTTGTGTTGTGTTTTGAAATGATCATATTGGGTAAAATGGTATATAAATTTGCAAAAGATGGTAGAAATGGTAATTGGATCAGAAAGGTGCTGAGAGCAAATGGGATTCTACATGTATATGATTATGGGTAAAATAGTTTTGAAAGAGGTAAATATTTATACAGCGTTAGTACAGTGATTAGGAATCATGTCCTGGAAGTTTGTAAGAACTGGAAATGCAGTCTGCTTGTTAACTGTGTTGGTACTGTTTGGGGTTGTGCATAGAGATGCATTGAGAATTTGAATACTTGAGTTGCTTTGACTGCAGAATGAATGTGTGTCCAAACAGCAGGTATCATGATCAGTGTTCAGGGGAATATAGCATATTTTATAATTTAACAGTTTTTAATGATTCACTATGTATTGCCCAGAAGTGTAGAGACATTCCCCATAGAGTCATTTAGTGCCTGAAGTGTTGAGAGATGCAACATTACATATCACAGTCTGTTGCATTTTGTCTTGTTTCATCAGTGTAAAGATTCCTTTTCCTAATTGTCTTAATTGAATTGTTTTGTCTGTGTGCTTATATAATACATTTAAAATATGCCAAGCTGCATCTTTCTGGAGCTATAGGTGGAAGCATTTACAAAGCAGCGAGGACAACTCATTTATCATTATCCGCTTTTCAAAAGATGAAATGAAATATGAGTTCTCCACACATTACAACATATTCTAAGCTTATTTCTGACGTAAATTATTCAGTGTTTCGGGATTTCAGCGTATGTGGGAACAGGAGTAGATAGTCTTGCTTGTTCACCAAATAAAAGAAAAGAGCAGTAAAGCGATTTTGTGCTGGAAATGGCAAGATAATACAGTAAGGAGCCCATTTTGTGTCTGTCCAGAGTTATCAAATGTGCATCAAACACTGGACCTATTAGTGCTGTGAACTCCTGAGAGTGTATTGTGTGTTGAGTGCTCAGAGTAGCCCAGATCTGCCTGTTGTGTTGCCTCTTCCGATGACTGTGAGGAAGCCTGAATCGTGTTACAAATCCCATAACCTCATTTCTGATGCAAATATTGTTGGTGTTAAATTGCCAAATGCAGAGGTAAATGTGCCTGTCTGTGAACTAATTAGAAAATTATTAGGTGTTCATGCTCTTTGTGTTGAGGTTCATTTCAGAGATGCTTTATTTCTGCTGCATGCAAGCCATGAGCATAATTAACCTGGAGCTCATCAATGATTAAAATTACACGCTAAGCTTTATGATATTCAATTCAGAGGCAATTAGACTGTCATTTTAGCCTATCTCAGACAGCAAAACTAATTTTAATTCATTTTCAATCTGTGTAAATCTTCTGATGTATCTTAAACTGATCATTTCCCTCTTTGACTTAGCTGAAGAGATTAGATTTGATTAGAGCAAAAAAAATTAAACAGCTATTCTTCAATGCTCAATAGTAGAAGACCTCACCCCCCCAAGCATTATTTAGTCAGAAGTTGTTTTAAATGAATGTCCTGAATTGCTGCATACTGGCAGATTATACGTAGCAACACAGTATGATTTCTGCTCTCAAGTAAGTGAATAGAGGTGTGTGCTTTTTAGTTCCCAGTATGGAAACATGCTGTCCTCTTGGCAGTGAATGTGACAAATTTCTTAATTTTGAGAATACTCACAGTGAGAGCATCATTTGCAGATTACAGTCAGCTTGTTTGTCCTTTTTGTTGCTCCTTGCCTTTGTCATGCTTTGAAAGTGAGAAGCACCGAAGTGGCTGACCGTCCTGCTGTTGTGTATAGTGCCATCATTCTGTAGGCTAGGAGATCTGCAAGGACTAGACACACTCAGGATCCATGCAAGCTTCCAACACTCTCGCTCCAGTCCACCAGACAATGAGGCTGAAGGATAGCAGGAGTTTTAGCCTGAACTTTCCTCGTGTGTTTTGCCCTGCTGTGAACCAGCAAAATGGCCCTTTACAGACACCTTCAGCATTTCCACTGAAGGGACTGTACGGGCCGTGGTGCCTGCCTTGAGAAAAATGATTGAAGGATTCTCATCGTCAGGACTTTCATACGATTTGCAAAAGATAGGAGCGAAGTTGATTGAGGCAGCCAGCCGCTGAGAGATGGGCAACACACCAGGATTGACAACATGAAAATTGTATTTGAAACGGTGTTCATTACGTTCGGTGGTGAGAAAATTTGACTGAGTCTCATTTTCCCCAAGGATGATAGGACTGGATGCACTAAATATTAATTTCTGTTTCTATGCCTATTGAAGTAACTGAAGCGTGGGGAAGAATCCTGATTGGTGCTTAATCAGGGCTTGTTAGGTACCTGCTGAGGGCTTTCAGAGAAGGAAGATTTGAAGTAAGCTGATTTTCTTGGTCAAACGAGACACGAAGGGGAGCATAATATATTTTTTCATTGTTGGCGCCATGATAATTTGTATTTGCTTACTCGTTTTTTTTGTGATGCAGGGCTTTCTGATTAAATGTACCTAGAGTTTTTTAAAAAATACAACCCTATAGAAAACTTAAAAAGATTTAGTGAAGGATTTAAACTACTATTATTATTATTATCATCAGGTTGGGGGCGGGGAAGGGGGTGGTGTTGAGAGGGAGAGAAGGTTTCTTTTTTTGTATTTATGCGGAAAATCCTGTCAAGAATGTACTTTGCAAAGGAAGCAAAAAGTATTCAAATGTTATCGCGAAGAAACGGTGAATATTTTGAGAGGCTTTAAAGCGCACTCTGATCTTTTGTAATCATTGACGAATATCTCCTGCTATAACTTTGAAGTCGATTCTTATATTGTTGCACGTTATTGTCACCTTGGTTTTTGCTGGTTTCCAATCGCCCTGTAATATTTGAAGCCCGTCTTTCATCTTGTTCATAAAAACAAAATCCCCAGATGTTTGCAGCAACTGTTTTATTATGGAGCAAAGAGGAAATTATTTTAGCCCCTTTGCCATGTTATTCATGTGAGCGCTTACTGCTGGGGATGCTGGGCATCAATCACTGCAAACGTATATCTGTGCAATGACAGACAGTAAGATTTCTGGGGTATTGTCTCTGGTGTACAATAGAGTAATTCATTTTAAAACTTTTATTTTGGAGTGAATATAGGAGAATACATGGGTGTGGGTGGGTGCATGTGTTTCTCTGTGTGCATGTGTGTGCGCTCATGTGTATGTTTGTGTGTGTCGGGGGAAGTGGGAGAGAGAAGAGAAAATTTGAGAGCAAATTCCACTCTGTATTACGTTGGACTGAGAAAATGACTTATTGTGTGAGAAGTAAACAGCTTTTAACCATGATTTTGGTGACATAATTAAAATTGATATGTTTAAGTCTGTACATCTGTTTTCAGTGCTGCCCAAACTATTTCCAGGGAGCAAATTTCCACAGGCCGTAAACTAAAGATAAGCTATTAGTGAACAATATCGTCATTTAATAAAATAGCTTCTCTCAACTTGTTTTTTTTATATATATATTCAGGTCCCTGACAGGCTGGATGAAATGAGATCCCCATGTAGCGATTGCCATGGAAACCTGTGACTCCCCTACTATCTCTAGGCAGGAAAATGGGCATAACACATCAAAGCTGTGCGGAACGACACAACTTGATAATGAGGTGCCAGAGAAAGTTGCAGGGATGGAGCCTGACAGGGAAAACAGCGCCAAGGATGACAACCTGAGAACAGATGAGCACAGAAGCAGAAGCTTGTTGGATTTCAGTGTGGAGAATGCTGCCACCACTCAGGTTACCTCAGCAAAAGAGATCCCTTGCAACGAATGTGCCACTTCTTTTTCAAGTTTACAGAAATATATGGAGCACCACTGCCCGAACGCCCGCCTTCCTCTTCTGAAGGACGACAACGACAGTGAGATAAGTGAATTGGAGGATAGTGATGTGGAGAATCTGACAGGAGAGATAGTTTACCAGCCTGATGGGTCAGCATTTATCATAGAGGACTCCAAAGACAGTGGGCAGAACGTGCAGCCAGAAATGAACAGTAAGCTCTTTTCCTCAGCATTTTTCCTGAACTCACTCGCAGCGGCTGAGGAAAAGAATGAGCAAACAGCCTGTGCACCAGTATCATTCTACCCACAAGTCATCAACACTTTTCACATTGCTTCATCCCTTGGAAAACCATTTCCTGCCGATCAGGCTTTCCCAAATACCTCAGCATTTGCAGGAGTTGGTCCTGTCTTGCACAGTTTTCGTGTCTACGACGTCCGGCACAACAGTGAGAAAGATTATCTCAGCAGCGATGGCTCGGCCAAAAACTCCTGCGTGTCCAAAGATGTTCCTAACAATGTGGACTTTTCCAAATTTGATGGTTGTATAAGCGATGGGAAAAGGAAACCAATTTTGATGTGTTTCTTGTGCAAGTTGTCTTTTGGTTATGTTAGGTCGTTTGTAACCCATGCTGTGCATGATCATCGGATGACCCTCAATGAAGATGAGCAAAATCTCCTAAATAATAAGTATGTCTCCGCCATCATACAGGGGATCGGCAAAGACAAGGAACCTCTAATAAGCTTTCTGGAACCAAAAAAATCAAATTCTGTCCATCCGCGGTATTCTGCTGCAAACCTCATGGGCCCCGATCCAACCTACCGTGGTTTGTGGAGTGCGTTTCACGTCGAAAATGGGGATTCTCTTCAGGCTGGCTTTGCGTTCTTGAAAGGAAGTGCGAGCACTGCTAGCTCAGTAGATATGTCACTGGGGAACAATCTGCTGCACAATGCTGAAGCCAACCTTGGGGGGCTGCCCAGTTTGGCCCTGAACACCCCAATTACCTCAGCGTCCCTCAGTCACTCGTCGCCTGGGTCAAACAAGCTGTCGGGCAACAAGGGCCTAGAGGGTAACAGTGAACAGGAGAAAGAAGCAGGTGTCTTGCATCCAGACCGAGAGTTCCGCATCAAAAGTGAACCTGTTGAGCCAGCAGATGATGACGATGAGACGTATTCGAATGACCCCGAGGATGATGAGGTATTGTTGTCAAGTGGATTTGTGGACCGCAGCGGTAACAAAGATTTCCCTCTCTCAAACCAAAGCATTTCTATGTCTCCTTTAATGCCCATTGCGCTAAACTTTAATGATAAGGGTACCTCTTCTTCCTCTCTGACTGTTTCTGATGAGCTACATAAGATAAAACAGCTTGCTGCACTGAAGGACAGTTGCAGTGATGATAATGACCATAGTATCAGTGGCAGGGACTTTGTGAGTGCCGGCAAAGACAACGCCACAACCCTTCAACCAAATGACATGATCCACGGAGACGACGACAGCCCTGGTTCTCATCACCAGTACAACTGTTTCCCCAACATGCTGGGAACAGGCGAAAACTCCCCGGGAAGTGGCGTAGAGTGTCCCAAATGCGACACGGTCCTTGGCTCGTCGCGCTCTTTAGGCGGCCACATGACTATGATGCATTCGCGGAACTCATGCAAGACGTTGAAATGCCCCAAATGCAACTGGCACTACAAGTATCAGCAGACCCTCGAGGCACATTTGAAGGAGAAGCACCCGGAGCCTGGCAGCTCCTGTGCTTATTGTAAGTCTGGGCAGCCTCACCCTCGGCTAGCCAGGGGCGAGAGTTACACTTGTGGCTATAAGCCCTTCCGCTGTGAGGTTTGTAACTACTCCACAACTACCAAAGGCAACCTCAGTATTCATATGCAGTCCGACAAGCACCTAAACAACGTCCAAAACCTACAGAACGGAGGAGTCGGCGAGCAAGTGTTCGGGCACACTTCCTCGGCAGCGTCCAGCAGCTGCGGAACTCCGTCTCCCTCCAAACCAAAACAAAAGCCCACCTGGCGCTGCGAGGTGTGCGACTATGAAACCAACGTGGCCCGCAACCTGCGCATCCATATGACCAGTGAAAAGCACATGCACAACATGATGCTGCTCCAGCAGAACATGAAACAGATCCAGCACAGCCTGCACTTGGGCCTGGCACCTGCCGAGGCTGAGCTCTACCAATACTACCTGGCCCAGAACATAGGCCTGACAGGCCTGAAACTGGAAAATCCAGCTGACCCTCAACTCACGCTAAATCCATTTCAGCTTGATCCAGCGACCACAACATCTTTGACTCCAGGACGTGGTTAGTACCTGTCAGGTTTCTTCCTACTCCCACCACAACATGCGCGCACACACACACACACGTATATGCAGGTACACATACACACACACATATCAGACATGCATGCACACACATATACACACACCTGTGTACACACACACGTGCGTACACACACTTTGTACAGAATTGCCATTTAGCAATTTGACTTCTGCCTGTGGTGTCTTTTATACAAGATCAAGATATTCCTGTCAATTTCCACCAACAAACAGTTACCAGACAGCCAAAATGTATCAAATGCATAATGTAAAAATCTCAGCAACGTGCCTTAATTCCTAATATTTCTTGCAATAATGGGAGTGTACTGTTGTTGCTTTCTATTTCAGTGCAGAAATTCTCTTAAATTGCAGGCATTGCTACCTTGAAAGGGTTGAAGTACACAACAACAACAATTTGCATTTACTTAGTGTTCATCACATAGGATAACTTCTCAGAGTGACAGTGACAGAAACCAAGCAAGGGATGAGGGGAAGGGGAAGTGATGATAGGCGTTATCGAAGAGGTAAGTTTTTAGGTGGGACTTGAAAACAGTCAGAGGGGGCAAGACAGAGAAGTAAAGAGGAGTGCCTGATGTGGGAAGGGGCAACAGGGGCAGATGTTGAATAGGGAAGGGGGGGGTGGGGTGCACGGGAGTGTGAAACAAAGACTTGAAGGAGGGCTTTGATCACATTTGGTGTGAGATAGGGCCCTAGGTAGTGAAAGTGGAGAAAATTGGTCATGGTCAGGGATCAGAGCTGAAGATTGAACAGAACACCAAGACTGTGTACATGTTCAAGGAGTTTGAGAGAGGGGTTTGGGAAGGTTGATGTTGGCATTAACCATGGAGGATGGTTTCTGTCTCGTCCAACTTAAAGCTGCAAGAGTTTACACAGGAAGAAATGGCAAGGCAGACGTATTTGCTACAAAGTGATTTTCCACAAGAGTTTGCTTGTGTAGGAAAGTGTATTTGATCTTACAATACAATTTACATTTATATAGTGCCTTTCTCTTCAGGATGATATCTCAAAGCGCTTGACAAAGCTAGATTAGCATCTATACAATGTTTTGTGCTTTTAATGGTTATTAAAAATTGGTCTCTTCCCCACCCCACCACCTCCATTGAAATTAATATATTTTTGCACCATTTCTATTAAGCTTATTTTTGGAAGAGCTAATAAATTCTTTACGTTTTACATTGAACCCCTCCCCTGGATTTGCTTAAAAGAAATATTCTGAGTGTACACCGGTGACTGATCAATGTCAGAGAAAGGAGTCAAATTCACGGAAAGCAAACGCTCGGACACTTTAGCCACAAAAATCATGCTTGCTAACTGTGCAATTAATATGGTTTCCATGGGTCCAGCACCCCCCTAGTCAGACAAAAACAAGGCTGCAATGTCACGGTGATTCATTGAACACTTGCCAGCCTCTTCATCAGAACATGTGTGGAAGTGGTTAACATTTAGCTGCACTTGTTATTTTACTGTAGGGCGAGATTTAAAAGGCGACACTTTGGTGGTAGACCTTTTTTATTTCTCTCTCTTTCTCTTTCTCTACTTCTTGGTCAAATAATTAACAATGACATCTGACCCAGTGCCTCTATCTTAAACCACTAAGATTTCTTCCTGAAAGTAGAATTAGCTAAGTGACGGTAAAGTGGAGCAAACGGTAAATGCACAGTGGTTTGGAGTTTGCTATTGATCAACTTTCATGTCTTTAAAAATACTAATTTGGGAATGACATCATGCCCAGTTGGAGTAATTAAAGCTATCTGATGAGGGAATTTAAGAGTTGAAAGGGATGATTGTAATTGATCCTGATTCAATCCTATTACAGCTTTTTATAGTTTAAGCTCCAGAGAAAGTAAACCCCCATGAAGGCTTTCTTTTACCAACTCCTTTGTGTGTTTCCAATTCACGGTACACTACAAGCTTTTCCTTTTTCTTCCCTAACAGCAAGCTATTCCCTTCTCATTTTTCTTTTTGCAGTTAATAATGAGCTGCCACCTGAGATGCGGCTCGCGAGTGGCCAGTTAGTGGGTGATGACCTGTCCTTCCTCACTGCCGGAGAGCTGTCACCTTACATCAATGACCCCTCACTGAAGCTGTTTCAGTGTGCAGTGTGCAACAGATTTACCACTGACAGCCTGGAGGCCCTGAATATACACGTGAACAGTGAGCGCACACTCCCCGAAGAGGAGTGGAAGGCCGTGATTGGAGACATCTACCAGTGTAAGCTCTGCAACTACAACACCCAGCTAAAGGCCAACTTTCAGCTGCACTGCAAGACAGACAAGCACATGCAGAAATACCAACTGGTGGCCCACATCAGAGAAGGGGGAAAAGCCAATGAGTGGAGGCTGAAGTGCGTAGCCATTGGGAATCCAGTGCATCTGAAATGCAACGCCTGTGACTATTACACTAACAGCGTGGATAAGTTGCGTCTTCACAGCACCAACCACAGGCACGAGGCAGCAGTCAAGTTGTACAAGGTAAGAAACTGACATTGAACCAATTTTGTATCACTTCAAAGAGACGGTAGCCAACAGCTTTAGTTAGCTGTCTAAACCATGCAACAACTTTCACTGATACAGGGTGATCACGCTTTGATTTTGGGTCCATGAAATTTGACACGACGTGTTGATGGAAGCACAGAAAAAATGGCGGCCAGGCATACCACCGGGTCATCTGTCCAGTAATGCGATCGCTTCTAGCTGATCGGTTGACTCCAGCCATTCACACTAGTGTTTCTAACAAGGTAGCGGCCGACCAGGCTATGCACATGCCAGAAGCCAAAAGTGTACTGCACATGCTGGAAGCCAGCTACGCAAGCGCTGGAAGGTGGCTGGTCAGTGCAGGAGCCTGGCTAGTCAATGTGATAAGCCGGCTGGTCAGTGCGGGAGGCTGGCCAGTTAATGCGATAAGCTGGCTGGTTAGTGTGGCGGACTGGCTAGTTAATGCAATAAGCTGGCTAGTCAATGTGGGAAGCCAGTCAGGAACCTCGGCGTTTTGTTCGACCCTGAGCTGTCCTTTCTCCCTCACATCCGCACCACAACTGGCACCGCCTTCCATCACCTCCGGAATATCGCCAGATTACGGCACTACCTCACCCCTCACGCTGCTGAAACCCTGGTTCACGCCTTTGTCACCTCAAGGCTGGACTATGGGAACTCTCTCCTCGCCGGCCTTCCCGGCACCTCCCTCCACAAGCTGCAGGTCATTCAGAACTCTGCAGCTCGTGTACTGTCCCGCACCAGGCTTCGGGACCACATCACTCCTACCCTCGCTCGCCTCCACTGGCTCCCCATCCCCCAGAGGATTGATTTCAAGATCCTCATCCTCACCTACAAGGCCATTCACGGCCTTGCTCCCTCCTACCTCTCCAACCTACTATCCCCCTACCTACCTGCCCGTAACCTCCGTTCCTCTGGCTCCGGTCTGCTCCACGTCCCCCGCCCCAACCGCCCTACTATCGGTGGTCGGGCCTTCAGCCTCTCAGCCCCGAGGCTCTGGAACTCCATCCCCCAGTGCCTTCGCCTTGCTTCCTCCCTTTCCTCCTTCAAGGCCGGTCTCAAAACCTTTCTCTTTGACCGTGCCTTCAGCTCCCCTCTCGACTCTCTTCCTCCTCCTCGCTCCCTCCCTTCCCTCCCCTCACCCTGACCATTTCCCCCCTCCTCGCTCCCTCCCCTCCCCTGACCATTTCCCCCCTCCTCTCTCCCTCCCTTCCCTCCCCTCACCCTGACCATTTCCCCCCTGCTCGGGTCATGACCCAACTGTGCAGCGCCTTGGGACGTCCTCCTGACGTGAAAGGCGCTCTATAAATGGAATCTTGTTGTTGTTGTTGTTGTTGAAGCTGGCCAGGAGGTGCCGGAAGCTGGATGTGCTGCTTCCTGTGAGCTAAAACTTTGTGACATTCTGTATCATAACTTTGGCAGACTACAAAAGCTGAACAATACCTTCTCTAAACTGCAGGTGCAGGTTTAGTGTCATCTGATAAGCAAGCTTTCCCTCTTGGTCTGTTGGAAAACACATGATTCCGCAGTTACTTGAGGATACCTGTTCTATTTGTTTCCACTTTTCCAAAAATCGAATGTGGAAACAATTCCAAGAGTGGAACCAAACTGGGACGCTACCCTGCATGAGGGGCACTATATAATGAAAGTTGTTGTCATTGTTGTTACTTGGTGTACATCAAAGGTCTGTATGTGGCACCTTGTAACTTCCTTACAGCCAAGAGGAGTGAGTCTGTACATACTAACATTATATGCATATGTTATATGTATATATACTATATGTATATACTGTATGCAGTATATCAGCACCTATTTCATGACTAATTTATAGACTCAGCAGCACCCATGTTAGAGAATAGTCTATTATTGGATTAGCTAATCAAACCTGATGCTGAAGGAGCAGTGGAATACCAGATTCCAATAGGTTATTGCCAGTGTTTGTGAGTTTCATTTCCTTCCGCACTTTGATAAGTTGCTTATCAGACTTGTATAACACTGTATAGTGAGCTTGCTCACCCAGTGGACACTCATGAAATATTACTCAGTCACGTCCGCTTTACATGTTCCTATCAGAGCTCATAGACTTCGAATGGTTAAAACAGTTTTGCGCAAAACCAAATTAGTCTTAAGTATTTAACAATTAGATCAAGACATAAATGAGTGTTCTTGATGTTGTGATAGGTAGTGCTTATTTTGGTTTGAAAAGAACGCCACTTCCTGGGTGTGGCTCAGATTTGCCAGTGTTTGGGACTCTTTAATTACCACATCAATGGTTTATGTAGAAAACAGCATCTGATAATGTTGACCTTTACGTGCCTCAACAAAATGGTTCAGAACTTTAAAGGCTGTTTGAATCATCAAGTCCTTCTTCAATATTTGATATCACGAGGAGCGTTCCAAAGAGACTGGGCATTTAAAAGCTTCACAAATGAATGTAATGACATGGACGGTCAGTAATGATCTCATCATCAAGGGCAGCATTTCTTTTTTTTTTGTCTGGATGCGTGAAAACCTCTATGATGGAGCTTCGGTGGCAGGAACTAAGCATGTCGGTCGACCCTTTGCGAAAAAAAAGAACACAGAAGCGTAAAGACAGGCATCTAACAGCCAGCTTCTTTCACTCATGCTTTGGTGGGTGGGAAAATCTAGAAGCATTTTCACCAGGGCATTGATTGAGTTGTCTAGATTTACAAAGCAACCTCCAGATTTTACCAAATGATTGATAACATTTGAAGTTATTGAAAAAATTATTTTCTGTGGAAGATTAAAATTCTGAATACATTAGATACTTGGCAATACCATTAATCATCTTTGACATGCAGAGAGTATAATTACAGAATCCATTCTTCAGATTTTATCTGTGTATTCACCCAGGACACCCAGCATTAACCAGAGTTACTTAGCATTCCACTGGAATACCACAGTGTAGTGTTTAGCAGATACAAAGATACAAACAAAATCCTATTTTTAATTAATAATAGCAAGGTTACAGACTCAAAAAAACAAATAATAGAAAACTCAGCAAGAAGGTTCAAAGGGAGGAAAGCTATGGCTAAAGATGAAAGTACTGATCTCTGGAAGACTTTCTCCCCCGCCAGTGCAGAACTCAACACGATTATCATCACTGTGCATGTTTTTAGAATCGCGTCTGGTCAGCAAAGCCTAAATAGTTACAACTGGTTTATTGACACAAAGCAGCTGCAAATATCTCATCCATTTTATTGATTCTGCTATTATTTCACTTGCTGTGGGGATGTAGGAACCTTGACAAGCACAACCCAGAAGGCATATCCATCATGCCAATTATATGACACATGAAGATTTTTTAAAAACTTTCGGGAGTCCTCGTAGACTGTTATTACAGCGCCACGGTTTTAAAGAGAGCCAGCCCCTGGGACTCAGTAGGAAGAGAAAGTCGAGTTCTTCAGAATTCTTTTTCAATTCTCAGCAGAAACCATCAAAAAACCCGTGGGGGGTTGAAAATCTGTCTTGCATGGGTGCAAAATAAACACGGAGGTGCAAAATAAACATGGGGGTAACTTTCAGTGAAGGAGCATAGAACTATAGAAGTATTATTGCCAGTGTTTTTATCCCAGTATTTCCTCCCACATTTTCACCTTTCACATTAAATCACTTGACTGAGTTCAGCAGATGGATGTTTCTTCCTGGTGGAGGTGGATGGATGTGCTGCACTGTCACCAGAAACTCAAGTCCTAGGGAGAAGTGGCCTGGTTTATTAATAATAATAGTAATCCTGACATTTGGTGTAGCGTCTTTCACAGCAGGACTATGTCCCAAAGCGTTGCGCAGCATATGCTGTAAAGTGTAGTGACTGTCTGTTTTGTGGGTGAATGATTTGACCCACAATTAGTCATCTTAAGCAGTGATATTTTTCTTTTTAGCCCAATCCCCCCTGCTGTTCTGTTAGGATTGAAAGGTTCAAAGGTACATCGGGCTGCACTGCGCTAAAGAGACAGCGATGCAACCACTTGATTTTTAAAACAATGTAATCTGCCCAATTCATTTTCTAATTTACTTATCACAGGAATATGCCTCTCTGCTCCTTGTCTACCCTATTGCTGGGCTACAGTTGCCCCAGTGCCATTGTGCATGTATCTGCCTTGGTAGTGAGTGCTGGCAGGTGACTCGACTATTGAGAGTCACAACTGAGCCTGAACTCTCTTCATCTGCCTGCTACCCACACAGGGATAGGGGACATTTACTGATGCATATAAATTGCTGAATGGAATAGAGGAAGGAAACCCAGATACGCTAAGGGAGCAGGGCAAAGGAGTTCAGGGTTGTGGAGGGTAATTTTAGGCAGATATCAGAAAATATTTACTATTGTGGAGGGCAACCGCCAGCTGGAAAAGGTAAACATGAGCGTGGTTGAGCCTAGGAAACTTCACTCAGGTGAGAAAGAGAAACGGTGCGATGTTGTATTGGAAAACTGGTAGGATTGCATTGTGGAACTACAGGCAAATCGCTCAAACTTTATGGATCACTTGTGAACCCTTAGTCACACTGCGATGATTCCCCTCAGTAATACTGTTCAAGGGGTTCTTCTCCTTTAGGTTTTACAATTGATTCCCCTTGTTGACACTGTATGAGAGATTTCCCTCAGACACTGTATAGGAGATTCCCCTTGTACAATTGATTGCCCTTTTTCAGACTGGATGAAGGATTCCCCTCGTTGACAGTGTATGAGGGATTCCCTCAGTCATACTACAGCTATGATTTTTGTCAGATACTTTACACTATTCTTCATCTGCAATGTGTGTTCTCTGAGGATAACTGAGTAGTTCTAGACTGAGAGTATTTCCTCATATGTGACCCCAAATTGAGATTCCTTCCGTTTACAATATCCACATTGCAATTCTTCCTGCGCCTTACTTTGCTTTTGCATTTTATACTGATATAAAGGGTATATACTGATATTATACTGATATAATCCCTTCTTCCCCGTAGAAGGGATTTTA